CTTATTTTAATTCATATTATAATTCATTCCATAATAATCAATTATAACACATCATTGCTATTGTGTTATATTCCAGTTACTTATTTTTCTATCTAACCATTGTTAAAATAAATCCCATATTTTACAATATTCTTTTTCTTCTTGCTCTCTAATTGCTCATGTTAATATACTCATTTCTGCACATTCCATTATTTTCTTAATCACCTCCTCCGTCGGAATTTTCTCATTTTTCCAATTTTGAGCAAATACAATTCTAGCTGCAGTTAAAACATTAGTAATCAAATATATCAATTCTCTGTTATAACCTTCAGGTAAAAGTCCCAATAAAAATATCTCTGTTTTCAAATCTATATGCTGTTTTGAATGAGGACCCAAATTTTTTTGGGGGCAGTAGGCAGTAGGTTTAGAGAGTGCTGTAAAGCAGTATATAAGTCTAAGTGCTATTGCTATATCACCCCTTCCTTCCTTTCATTAAACTAGACATACCCAATCCCAGTAACCATTCTTTATATGTTTTAGCCAGGGGTGGGATTCAATTTTTTTAACAACTGGTTCTGTGGGCGTGGCTTAGTAGGTGGGTGTGGCTTGGTGGCCTTGTGACTGGGTGGGCGTGGCTTGGTGGTCATGGTATTGTCTGGGTGTGGCCAACTCAATATCACTCACATCGTGGGAAGCATCTCCTCTCCTGGCCTCTCATGACTGTGGGGATGCTGCAACAGTCGTAAGTGTGAAAAACAGTCATAAGTCACTTTTTTCAGTGCCATTGTAACTTTGAATGGTCACTCCACACAAGCAAAGTACCAGCAAAGGAGGGGGAAAAAACTCCAGAGACATTTCAGAGACAGGAAGTCTAGTCCTGCCAAGAGTGTAATAAAGGTTAATGGAGAGGCAGTTTCTGTAAGCAACACCAGAATGTTTCCTTCCTGCCTTCCTTACAGGATTAGGCCAGTAATTTCTTCTAACAACTGGTTCTCCAAACTGCTTAGAAAGTTAACAACTGGTTCTAGCGAATAGGTGCGAGCCGGTAGAATCCCACCCCTGGTTTTAGCCTCCAGTCCGAATTGTTATGTTCCCTCCTTGAAAGGATGGGCATGTTCGTGAAAAAGAGTTCTCCTTCATGAGAGACCATAACAAGCTCAGAAAACATCAGGAACCACTCAATAAACACCACCCAACCTTTCAAACATGATGCTTTGTACTCCCCGCCACTGTTGTGGTTCGCCAGCAGCAGGTGCAGACAGCTGAGATCTCAGAGGGCGAGGACTCAAATGAGGGGCCTGCGTGGGATGCAGGGATGGGGCCAGGACTATCAGGGAGTGGAATGCTGCCTTTGGAGATTGTGGAGGCTGGCAGCAGTGATGAAGAGGCCCCCGAGGAGCCTGTGCCCAGGGTGCATGCATGCAGGGCTGCTTGAAGGAAAGAGCAACTGCAGCAGCACGGGGGACTCGGGAGTAAAGCTGCAAGGTAATGGCCCCTCCCTTAAGGGATAAAAGCCAGCCCTCAGAGATGGGATTCTTCGCAGGAAGCAAAGAAGTTCTTGCCCTTCAAGCCTTGTGGAAGTTCGGACTATCCTGGTTCGTGTTTGGAGACTTTTTGTTTGGAATATTTCTTGGCAACTTTATCTTGTGTTCTTGGCAGCCTTGCACAACCTTGGCAAGGCTTGTTCTTATCAGAGACAATTTAGTTTTAGTAGCCTTTTAAACTGTGAATGAACGGAATTCTGCAGAGAAGCATTAAAAGGTTTTGCTTTTACCTCTGTTTGGTGTTTGTTTCCATGGAGCAAGGTTTGGGTCAGAACAGCCACCAGTTTTCGTTAGTCCAGAATTTGCTGCCAAAAAAGACATCTTGTGCCTGGATGGAGCTTTGTTCTAATTCCCAAACAGTGGTTGCATCGTAGGCCTCTTTTTGTATGCGAGAGCTGGTGAGCCACGCACAATGGCAGCCTTCTTCGGCTGAACCTCAGCCTTAGGGGCCAATTAATTAATCAGGCCCTCTTCTTCTCCTCCTCTCAACTTCCAGATCAAGCACCGTCATCCCTTTCGCCTCGCCAAAGCTCTTTCTTTCCCTTCCTAGGAACAAACCCCCCCCCCACTCTTCAGTTGGACAAGGGGAGGGTTGATGTGGCAAGCCAGTTCTGCAAAAAGCAATTGGATCCAGGAGAGAAAAGAGAGGAAGGGGTGAGGGAGAGGGGTTTCGAGAGGGGATTGCAAGCTTAATTGAACCCATTCAAGAATTAGGAAAATGGTTCCATTCTCATTCCATTCAGGGCAGGTTTCAAAAGGGAGAAAAAGAAGAGACTCGGACAAATTCCCAGAATGTACCTTTGTAAAGGGAGGTTTTTCTTTTCTCTTGCTAAGTTTTCCAGGAGACCAAGCCAGCAAAGAAGCTCTTTGTGCTTGGAAAAACTTAATGAGGTGCCCAGGAAAATGAGCGCTTCTGATGTCCGTGAAGGATGTGCCTAGAAAATGAAGAGTTTGGAGACAGAAAGAGGGACCTTGCGGCCCTCACGAAGATCAAACTTTGGATGCAGGAATTCCCATGTGTTCCATCAGTATTGGGTCCCGTTAAAATAATCTGGCCTTGGGTTATACACCGTTATAAAAATACTTTACTCAAACTGCGTGTGTTGGATTGAGAGAGAATGACTGGCTGACTGGCCCAAAGTCACCCAGCCAACTTTCATGCCTAAGGTGGACCTAGAACTCACCATCTCCTGGTGATTGGTCCAAAGTTGCCCTCTCGGCTTTCCAGGCTAAGAGACTTGAACTCATGATCTCCTGCTTGGTACCTTAACCACTGGACCAAATTAGCTCATTTCATGGTCCTCTGAAGTTTGCAGCCCAGATAAGCTTGTCTCCCAACTTTTCCCTACTTGGCATCCTTTAGAGGTGGTGAATGTACTGATCATCCCAGAATATTTTTGCCAGCCTGCTGTTCATGGACACGGTTATTCCAATGCACTCGGGAGCCACCAGGTGGAAAAAGTGTGAATTAACAAATTGTTCGTAGAATCTGGAAGGCAACAGTAGAAAGTCGGTTTGGGAGCAAAATTGAGCCATTGTTCTAGGCATGGACAGTGTGTCTTCTGTCTTAGGCATGTGTGAAGCAATAAACTCCTCTTCAAGGATGCTGGGAAGTTGACACCCTGTTGCAGAGAAGAGCAACAAAGGTGGTAAGACAGGAAGCTAAATCATACGAATCGTTGCAGGAATTATGTCCAGCCTAACGCAGAGAACGACTAGGGATAACGTGATAGCAGTCTTCCAGTATTGGAGGGTCTGTCACAAAGAAGAGGGAGGGTGTCAATCTATCCTCCAAAGCACCAGAAGGCAGGACAAGAAGCAGTGGGTGGAAATCAAGGAGAGAAACGACCGGGAACTAAGGAGGAATTTCCTGAGAGGGAAAACAATTAATCAGTGGGACAGCTTCCCTCCAGAAGTTGTGAATGCTTCATCGCTGGAGGTTTTCAAGGAGAGACTGGATAGCTAGTGGTCTCCTGCTTGAGCTGGAGGCTGAAATGAAAGCAGGGGTGGATTACAAAAATCTTAGCAACGGGTTCTCTGCCCGGTTGCTGGGTGGGTGTGGCCATGGTGGGCGTGGCCTAGTTGGTCTCCTGCACTACGGTTGTGGGGGAGGGGGCATTTTTGCCGTCCCCGGGCTCCGGAGGCTTTCCTCGAGCCTCCGGGAGGGTGAAAATGGCCTCCCCGGGCTCCGGAGGCTCTCTGGAAGCTGGAAATGGGCCCAATTCTGGCCCTCCTGAACTTCCGGAAGGCCCGTTTTTTCCCCTCCCTGATCTTGCGTCCTGCACTTCCCTGCATCCAAAACCAGCCGCGTGGAGGGGCGGGGCAAGGTCAGCCAGGAATGGAATTTGGGGGTTCTCTGAAATGCGCAGAATCTTCGCTAGGGGCTCCCCTGAACCTCCAGCAGCCCACCCCTGAATGAAAGGCCCCTTCTCACCCTATTTTTCTATGTTCTGAAGGGATTGGAGCATAAACAGAGTGCATATAACAGTGTGTGTGTCTGGCCCAATCTTTGATTTCCTTGATGAACCCCACTGTAACTTATGCTGAGCTGGGAGATGAGACAACTGCAAAGATAAAAACTTCTGGGCGAACAACCAACCTTAAGCCTACTTGAGAAATGCAAAATGCATCTAACGGCTTGTTGTAACTAACTTAGAATGTGTTCTTCCCAGTAACTTAAAATGTGAGAAGCAAAAATGTATTTCTTTCCAATCCATCTAAGTAAGGTCTCTTCGTTTGTAGAGGCGCTGAGAAAGTCATGAGCTTTGCTTGACATGAAATGATGTCTCCATAGCAATGACGGTCTTTGCTGGCTGTGTAATCTATAAAAGTCCAAGAAAAAGTTTTTGCACGCGCCTGCATTTCTTTCTCTCTGCCTCGCTGTTTAAGGTCGCCCAGTTTTTGCTTTCTGATCAGAAAATAAAGCTGATTATCAGTAGCCTCGTGTTCAGAGTTTCATTGGGTTTATTAGATTCTGAGCTGCACTTGAAAAACCTTACAGTTCTATTCAATGCGAGCTGGCTGGGAGAATTCTGGGAGTTGACGTCCACACATCTTAATGTTGCCAAGGGTTGAGAAACTCTGGGCAGGATGGAATAAGGGCAAAAAAAACCGTCCTGAAATGGCAGCCGTTCGATCTCTGTCTATCTCAGCATTTGGATTTACAAACAGGGCTGGCTGAAATGCAGCTTCTGCCCGGAAAAAACGAATGTCAGGAAGGATTTGTAGCACATTTTATGGGCCTGAAGTACAATCCCTGCCACACACACACAGCCTCCCGTTCAGCTTGGGTTTCACTGAGGGAAATGAAAACAAACTTCCCAGGCGCCGCCATGATTGGCCCGAAAGAAAATGTTCATAAGCCAAGCTACCACGGGTCTGAGTTTGGGCAGAAGAGCCATAAACGGGGAAGGGGAGGGAAGGGGTATATGTTTAAAAAGTTAATGAGGAAGTACAAAATCTTTTTTTTATTTGCTGGACGAGTGCACGCAGGTGAAGGCCTGCCTCTAGCCTTCACCTGTCATGAAAGGGTGGACAATTTAAGGACGGAGGCCAAAAGTGAACAGCTTCCTAGGTATGGCTGCTGGTCGTCCCTTTTCACTTCAGCAGGACACTTCTTCGTCCTTCACCAGAACAGGAACGTGCTCTTCGCTTTCGCACATCAAGGAATACACAGCACGGATCGCCGAAGGTCTAGAACTTTCTGGAAGGCGGCCCGGTTCTAGAAGGGGAAGGAGTTCCGTTTCCATAGCCTGCATAGAGGACAACGTTCAGGGGTGGAGAAGATGGAGTAGCAACAGCACTTAGGTCCGGGGTCCCCAAACTTGGCAACTTTAAGACTTGTGGACTCCAACTCCCAGCTATGCTGGCTGGAGAATTCTGGGAGTTGAAGTCCACAACTTTTAAAGTTGCCAAGTTTGGAGACCTCTGGCTTAGATGTATATTCCGCTCCATAGTGCTTTACAGCATTCTCAGTGGTTTACAGAGTCAGCCTATTTGCCCCCAAAAACTTGAGTCCTCATTTTACCGACCTCAGAAGGATGGAAGGCTGAGTCAGCCTTGAGCTGGTCAGGATCGAACTGCTGGCAGTGGGCAGAGAGCTTTCCCTCTCCCTTCCCTTTCCCTCTTCCTTCCCTTCCCTTCCTTTTCCCTCCCCTTTTCTTCCTTCCCCTCTTCCTTCCCTTCCTTCCTTCCCCTTCCCCTCTTCCTTTCCTTCCATTTTTCCTTTCTTTTCCTTTCCTCCTCCTTCCCTTCCCTTCCTTTACTTCCTGTTTCCTTTCCTTCTTTCCTTTCTTCCCCTTCCTGCCTTTATTATTTTCACATATAACTCAAGGCGGTGAAGATATCCAATACTTCTTCCTCCTCTTCCCACAACAACCCTGTGAGGTGTGTTGGACTGAGAGACTGACTGGCAGTCAGTCACCCAGTCAGCTGTCATGCCTAAAGCGGAACTAGAACTCCCACCCTCCTAGCGTTTGGCTTAAAGTCACCCAGCTGACTTTCATGCCTCAGATTCTACTAGAAATCCCCGTCTCCTGGTGACTGGCTCAAGTCACCCAGCCAGCTTTCATGCCTACCACATCTCCTCTCTTAGGTTGGCTCTAGAATCAGGAATGGACAGTCTGGGCAAAAATAAGAGAAGTGGGAAGAAAATTACCGCCTGGATCTGAAGTTTCTGGTCCAGCATCGCCACCTGCCATTTTAAAGCCTCCATCTCTTTCAGCTCATCCAAGCTGGAGTAAAAGAGAAGTCGTGGAGGCCCCAGGGAATCTGGATCCGAGCAGGTTCGCCCTCCAAGGGGAGCATGACAGAAGCCCAAAGAATCGTGGTCAGTGTCGTCCTTGTCGTTCGTGCAGAGCGAGGCAAACTCTGCATGAGACACCAGGGCTGCCCGAGAAGGAAAAGCATCTTTTGTTACTATATTATTTACAAGATAGGATTATTACAGTTCAGACGTTGTGGGGAAGCTTCAGGCCTGGAAGCTTTCAAGAAGAGACCGGACTGCCGTTTGTCAGAAATGGTGTTAGGGGCAGGGGATAGGATTCTACCGGTTCAGACCGGTTTGGGCGAACCGGTTATTAAATTTGTATCTGGTTCGCTGGACTGGTGTTTAAACCGACCGGCTGGCCCCGCCCACCCACCCCCTACTCCCCTCCCCAGAGTGTCCACGTGGCCCATGACGCAGGTAAGGGCAGGGGCCACGTGGAGGCTCTGGGAGAGGGGAAAACGGGCCTGTTTCCGGCTTCTGGTGGGCCTCCAGAGCCCGGGGAAGGCCGTTTTCGCCTTCCCAGAGGCCCGAGGGAAGCCTCTGGGCCTTTGGGAAGGCGAAAAACAGCCCTCCTGGAAGTTCTGGTAGGCCACGCCCACCATGGCCACGCCCACCCAGCAACCGTAGGACCGTTGCAGCATCTTTGTGGTCACCTGATCGATAAGAAGACTCGATCAGGATGTCTCCCAGATATGTAAATGGACCTCACACACACACAACCCCCCACACACATACAAATTGGGTGCAGCACAAGGACACAACTTGTCTGCTGCCAACCACAAAAGTATGAGCTGGGATGGAAGAACTCCTAACTTCTGTTGTGTTGTGGCCCAGCAGCGGCCAGCGGGAGCCTGTTCCCTGTGTGTGTATGCGCAGAGCTGCCAGGAGAAGAGTTAAGCAACAAGGGTTGACTCGGGAGTAAGGGACGAAGGATGGCCCTTCCCTCAGGGAATAAAGAGGAGGGAAAGGGGAGTTTGGGCTTTGCAGGAGACAATTAGTTCAATTCATTAGGGTGAAGATCTGTTCCTGACGTCTTGCCAAGTAGTGTCTGCTACAGAACGGCGTTTGGAAGATATCGGCCTGGCAGCTCTCCAAGCCCGATAAAGGTCTGTAGCTGTGAAATCTCATGAAAGACTGCTGGCCGGGACTTTGCTGGAGAGGAATTCACTTTAAACTAAATAAAAGGGGTTTTATCAAACCAGGCGCTTCATGCTTTTGGGAAGACTAGGTCAGAACGGTTGCAGAACACTGCGTCCTTTCACAATTGGGACAACTTTTAAGATGGGGTGGACTTCCAACTCCCAGAATTCCCCCAGCGCAGCCGCACTGTCGCAACTGGTTTGTGCAAAGTCATGGTTGGTTTATATTTTTCATGGAAAATGCAGGTAATTCTCAACTTGCAACAGTGCATACGGGGACTGAAGTTACAATGATCCCTGGAAAAAGAGATCTACGATTATTTTTCACATGATGGCTGTAACCTCCCCGTGGTCACATGATCAAAATTGAGACGCTTGGCAACTGGCGTGTATTTATGACAGTTGCAGTGTCCCCTTTTGCGACCTTCTGACCAGCAAAATGAAGTGGGAAGCCAGATTCACTTAACCGTGTTACTAACCGAACAACTGTGGCGAGAAAGGTTGTAAAATGGAGGAAACTTCACCCAACAAATGTCTCACTTAGCAACATTAATTTGGGGCTCAGCTGTGGTCATAAGTTGAGGACTACCTGTATGGGAAGAAGCCGCGGAATCCAGAGCACGTCGGTTGGACAAAACTGGGAATAAGGGCACCTTTTCGTTCGAATGATGCCCTCGAGGAGTTACCTCTCTCACCTTCTCGCATCTGGTCCAGTTTGCCAAGATGCTGCTCTACTACCTCTTGTAAGGCCTGCACAGTCACAAGGCTTTCGTACTCTCTGTCCCAGGTTGGGTTTTCTCCAAGTGCCTCTGAGAAAGGAAGATTGCAGGTAAGACAACATCGTGCTGCACCAAGGCTAAAACATAGGAAGAACGGCTGCAGGATTTGGGGTCTGGCTAGATCCAAAGAAAAGAAGAATTAGGGGTGACATGATAGCAGTCTTCCAGTATTTGAGGGGCTGCCCCAAAGAAGAGGGAGTCAAGCTATTCTCCAAAGCACCGGAAATAAACAATGGATGGAAACTAATCAAGGAGAGAAGCAACCTGGAATTAAGGAGAAACTTCCTAATAGTGAGGACAATTAACCAGTGGAACAGCTTGCCACCAGAAGTTGTGGGTGCTCCATCACTGGAGATTTTTAAGAAGAGACTGAACAGCCACTTGTCTGAAATGGTCTAGGTTCCCCTGCTTGAGCAGGGAGCTGGACTAGAAGACCTCCAGGGTCCCTTCCAAATTCTATTCTATCCTATCCTATTCCTATCCTATTC